GAAGGATCTGGGTGGTACCAACATTTTTGGGGCAGCAAAATCTTCATTCAGCTGAAATCATTTTCGAGAGATGAACAAATCTTAAAAAAGAACCTCGTCTTCAGCACTTCACTATGAGTTAATTAATTAGTTAATTGTTCCTCGTTCAGTATAGTTGCTTTTAGAGGATTTTATTACCATTGCTGTAACTATCAGTAAAAGAATGGTATACCTGATGCATACTCTACCAACAAAAAAAGTACAGTCCACTTGCCCTGGAGCTGTTCGTTGCTGCTCACAAGTTATGAACTCCACAGCAGAGCTGATGGAATGGGGTGCAGGCAACTGCTATTCTCAGTGCAAGGTGCAGATAGAGGTCAGAGAGGTTAAACTGCTGGATCTGGCATGAAGCACACCTTGGTCTGCCAGTCCTGGTATTGGAACAGTAATCTCCAGGAAAGAAACAGAGCAGGCAGGGAGAAGCAGCACTGCAGAAATCAGTTAAAGGCTGATAAAAATTCTTAAGCTCATGTGACAAAGTGATGTTACCCTGAAAAACCCATTTTGGGGGCTCGCACTGTCACTAAGCAGTAACAAAAACTGTCAGAACTCTTGCTGAGAAGTGAGATCTCAGGACTTTTTGTGTTGACAGATTTGTAAGAATGGATACAGACTGAATTTAAATAGCTACAGTTCATTAACACTGCAGCTACTCCAATGTAATTTATTTTCTACTTTATAACATACAAATTAGTCTTCAGTAACAACCAAATTAGCAAAACACACTTGACTGCATATGAATTAAACTTGTTTTTAATACTTTTTACATCCACTCTTTTAATTTATAATATTTTACTACATCCATTACTGTAAATCTGTCAGAAAAAAAAACGCATAACTGAAGAACTGATTACACAGGAAAAGTAGGAAACTGTCAGTTCTACATTGTTCCTCAATGATCAGGAAAAGTGCTACAGATAAAAATATTAATTTATGGGAAGTTTCAGTTCCTTTTTACTTCTCTATGTATCAGCCTGCCAACCTAACCATAATTCTCCCAGATGATCTATGATAATTTGTCTTGGAATTTATCTCATAACAAAAAATATCCAGGAGCAGTATTGTTAGCAAGCACAACCATTCTTATTTTCAAATAGCCTGTCACGCTGTATTTAATGAATAATCACATATGCCATTAAGCATCTACTTATGAACAATAAGCATTCTTGATCTAGCTAAGTGTAATTCTAAACCTGTTTATACTGTGATACTGCAATCTACTGCTTGAATAATTATTCCACCTGTAAGAATTCAAACATTCAGAACTGGGATCCTCCCTACCAAATACCACTTGACAAAACAATAATACAACACAGTATACATCACGTAGAAAACACAGTCTACATCACATAGACTGTGTATGAATCATGTACAAAGTAAACTTCAGAAACAAAATTAACCAACTGTAGAACCTGGATGGGTTTAGTCAGAATGTGTTGAGAAAGTTGTTATGACAGGTCTGCTGACAGCAAAGAAAGCAAAATGAATATAGAGGAAACTCCACATTTGAAGAAAGTATAAAGCACCAATAATGGCAGCAGAACAGGAAAAACAACACTAGGACTTTTCTGATTATAGAGGAAGGAGGTAGGAAAAACATCATGCCTTTACAGGGAAGACCAGAGAGTATGTTACAAATTGCTGTAGATTGCAGCGAGTGTAACCTATGTACCTATTTGGTATGGAGGTGATTTTTTAAATTTTTGTGAAATGGCATCAGCAGCATGCAACACTGACCCTTAGCAAAAGTCATACTAAAATGTAATTTAAGCCACAAATGAAATTATTTTGGCATGCAGCTGGAGTAAGGGACAGGAAGATATGCAGGAAAATTTGGGTTACAAATGAAAACAACTTGCTGAAAAACCCTATTTATCCCATGAAGAAGGAGTCGTGAAGAGAATCTAATTTGTTAAGGTCCCACGAAACAACAGAGAAAATATACCACAATTTGAGTGAAGGCCATGAGCAAAAGGAATGTGGTAACAGAACTTGTGAAAATTAACATGAAGGCAAACAGTCTTCAGCCTTTCAAACAATAAAACATCTAGAACCCAAAATTCTGTTTAAGAGAAATTACTTAGTTTATATGTCTTACTTCAGTTTTGCAGTTACAATCTTATCTAATATTATGATTGCCTCACATAATATTATGAAATACCACTGTAACCTGTAAATGTCTAGATGTATATATATAATTTTATTCCTTTTAGAAGAAATTAATCAATAGGAAAAAAATTACAAAAAGCTGTCAATTTTTGACAAAAAGCTCATTTGTAACTGAGATTATTCACATTTGTGAATTCAAGTTACTGAACCTTCAATAGAGAAGTATCTTAAACATTTGAAACTTGAAGCAATGAAAAGCCAAAAAAGTAAAGTGTCAGAGTATCATAATGCATTTTGCCTGTTCAGTTACTCTTACATTCTATGAAGACTAAATGCAATCTGCAAATGCAGTCATCAGATCACACATAAGCAATGTTGAAAATTTAATGGAACTCAGATGGAGGAATGAACAGAACCCTCAGTGAGAACATTTGTAGTTCAGTGCCTCACATGTAACATACCTGCTGTAAATTAGAGCTAGAGTAAATTTACCTCTATCACTGATGTTTCCTCACACACACAGACCACAGATATAACAATTAAATCCTGCACAAACTTTGTTTCAAAACAAGAATGAACAGCGCTGTTAGTTAGAGCAGTCACGTGATAACCAAACCCAAACAACAAGTGCTAATAGAATTTCAGCATCACTGTTGGTTTTATTCTGTGAAGAGATAATAGATGCGCTATTTATACAGTACTACTTGTAGATTCCGTCTGTGATCAACCTTGAATTCTCTGAAACTCTTGAATTGTTCCCGACTGAGGCAGTTACAGATGAAGGAATGCATTTCAGTGATAACCTACAAATGGTGAAATGACAGGGAAGTTTTCTTCAATAAGTGCATACAAAACATTGTCAGGGTTCACACAGATTGCTTTATTAAAGAACAATTCGATGCCATGCAAAAAGAGGACATAGTTCGCTTTCTTAGTCAGAGCACTGAGTTAAGATTCTTCCTCTGTCTAATTAAAAGTGTTAGCTTGGTAAGAAGTTTTAGAAACAGAAAAAAAAAAAGCAGGCTAGCTAGAAGTTAATGAACTTAAAAACAGTCCACAACTTTACAGACAGGATGCATTCAATTGTATTACAAATACTCATATTTGCATAGTTTTTTTTTGCTTTTTGTAGTAAAAGTTGGAGAGTAAAAACTTAAAAAAAATGAAATTTCTTGAAACAGAAAACAGTAAGTTTTTTTGTTTTTTTTTTTTTTTTTTTTTTTTTTTCAACCCAAATCGAATCCGTCATAGTTTTTGCTTACTTTTGGCAAGAGCTTGTATTTGATATTTATCTTTCTTAAAAAATTAATGTGTCTGCTAAGCATTACAGGACACTACTAGTAACATTTAAAGAAATACTTTAAAGACAAAATATTAAGCATCTTATTTTTTAAATTCAGAATTCTGCACATAACAGCAGAATGGTACATTCTTGGTATTATACTGTCAAATTAACAATATATCAAAATCATTTACAAAAATTAATCCTTTCATTTATAACTCTTTCTTTGTCATAAAACCATCTATATTATTGAACCACATGGATTAGTATCTACGTCTCATGGAGACAAGTAATTAAGATAGAATCATTAAGGTTGGAAAAGACTTCCAAGATCAAGTCCAACCTCTGACCAAACACCACCATGCCAACTAAACGGTAGCACTATGTGCCATATCCAGCCATTTATGGAACACTTCCAGAGATGGCAACTCCACCACTTCCCTGGGCAGCCCATTCCAATGCCTGACAACCCTTTCTGTGAAAAAATTCTTCCAGATGTCCAACCTGAACCTCTCCCGGCACAGCTTAAGGCCATTTCCTCTTGTCCTGTCTCTAGTTGCCTGGGAAAAGAGGCTGACCCCTACCTACTTTTCTCCAGGCCAAACAATCCCAGCTCCCTCAGTCACTCCTTTTATGACTTACTCTCTAGACCCTTCACCACCTGCACTGCCCTTATCTATACGTGCTCCCACACCTCAGTGTCTTTCTTATAGTGAAAGACCCAAAACTGGACATACCACTTGAGGTGTGGCTTCACCAGTGCTGAGCAGAGAGGGAAAATCACCTCCCTAGTCCTGCTGCCCACATTATTTTTGATACAGGCCAGGATTCCATTGGCCTTCTTGGCCACCTGGCTCATGTTCAGCCAGCTGTCGTCCAGCACAGAGGAGCTCACTACGCAGGGAGTTATCACTGCAACAGTGAATTCAAGGTACACTGTTACAGGGCACCCATAACCTCCACTGGCACACACTCACTAGCACAGAGTGACATAAGCACACTAGAAAGCATGCCATGGATGTTCCTAACCTCTTTCACAAATGAGCCCTGCCAGATTCAGCTGCAGGAGTTTGAGACTTTACTGCTCAGCTCCCAGTACTGAACCTCCTACATTTATAATCCACAATGCAATCTTCAACATATCAATCATTGGGATTTGATTAATCTATTTGCACTTGACTGCCTGGGTTATCTGAAGATAGAGCGGCCATGGCAGAATGTAAGATGCACACTTTTCTTAAACCACTACAGATATATTCACTTGGAGCTTCACTTAATGAAAGCTTTTTGTGGCCTGCAGTGAATTCTGTGCTACAAGATGCTCCGAAGATCCAGTGACAGAAGTGAATCCTCTGAATAAATCCCTTTGTTGATGAATTTCAACAGCAGGCCATTGAAAATAGCTATTCTTGTTTGAACAGTTTGTTTCCATCTTTTAAAGATACCAACTTGGAACACAAGGGAACAAGCACTCTAAGGTAGACAAGCATCTAAACAAATTTACTTAGAGATGATACATAAAGGTGTGCTTTTATTACCCAATCATTTTATTCAAGTAGACAAAGAACAATTAAAGTGACAAGACATTGATTTTACTTGCTCCCCCCTTTTACCTTTTCCTAGCTCAAGTTTAACAGATTCAATCAAATGATCAGCAGGCTGCCAAGTTAAGAGAACAATCAAACAGATCTTCAAATACCTATGGAACAATCCTCATGATGCTGGAGTTCTTCTACAAATGAATCCTTCTGACTCTAGACACAGAAAGTGACAAAACCCCCAACTGAAAGTAACTGTCATACTCTAGGTATTCAACTGCGCCTTTGCAGGGGTAAATGTGCTACACGAAAGGGTGAGTGCACAGAATAGCAGTGAAAAGAAATCACTGTGACTATGATTCACAACTTCCACTATAGAAACCAGGTGACAGGAAGATTTCCAGTTGTCTTCACATCCAGTCAGAGTCAAACAATATTCCTTGAAGGTTTGTATTGGCATGGATGCTTGCACGTTCTCTCTATTCAAATGTATTCTCAGCTGTTGTGAAACAACTCAGAATGGTCTAAAAGGAGATGGTTCTTATCTCTTCATTAAGGTTTTGAAATAGTCTCCACTACTCTTCAACCCCCTTTCCTTGCTTGTCAGCATTTTTACGCAATTGTATTTTCAAGAGAAAACCTAGACTAAATCTTAGAAAGAGAATTAAGTATTCTCAAAATAACGATGTGTAGAGTTATAGTTCCAGCCCTTTACTCCATATTTCTGACAAATATGTTTTTAAATGGCAAAGCAAAGGTCCTGTTCCATGGTTACTATTCATTACTTTTAGCTACTCAGTTCTCAGGAAAACAAACAGACTGTTCCAGCTATTAGATGCTTGAAACAACCATTTTAAAAAGTAACTCCTGGGGAACCTTAGCACTTTCCTCTTCTAAACTGAGAAGCTAATGAAACAGAAGAAATTAAATGCAATCTACTACTTGCTCAGTTGGTTGATTTAGCAAAGGGTTAGAAACCATGAAGTGAAACTGAGTGAATCCTGGAATTTTATTACATGCAGCACCTAGGAAAAAAAGAAAAAAAATTATAATGTGCTACATTTGGGATTAGTGTCTCTGTCATTGCATTTTATCATCTAAAGACCCAGTTACTAATTCTACTACAATGGTGTAATTATTCTTTTACAATCTGTTTAACCTAAGACATCTTGAAAGTATTTAAGTTAAAATACAGTACTACTGACTGCTGTAGTGCAATTAATGCCCTTATAATACAATTCAAAAAAGTAACGCAAGTTAGGAAAATATCTCTCTCTTTCAGTCCTGATTAATTTAATGAGTTCCTTCAACACTAATCTCTTAAAACACAGAACTATGGGAAGTAAGAGATCAAAGAACAGCAATAAGCAGTCTAACTAAATAATCCACGTTGATTAGCAAATTATACTTGATACTGATCTAAGACTTCACTAATGAGATGCCTGGCACAATGACGGCTCTTGGAAAGCTTTGAAGCCATGCTTAACATTCACATTCTCCCTCCCTTATACCACATCTAGGGAAGGCGTAAGAATTCTTCGTTAAAACCTCCAAATTAATCACAGGCAGTCCAGGAAAACACATGAAGATTGGAAATATTTTTGATTTTTGCTAAGCCTTCCATGAATTTTGTGTAAGTCCAAGACAGCCAAATGCATAGGAAAATGACAGTATCCCCAGTTCACACCAGGATACAGCTGCCCTAATAACCAGTATTTAGCACTATGAATGAACAGTATTACTGCAGTCCTCAAAGAGTAATTAAAGACTTCTGCTTTAAAATTCACCTTCAGTTTTGTACTTCTGTGATCCAGTAAGGGTTAAGCACCTTTGTCTGCAAAGCAAAATACATACCATAACTTCCTGTTGTATTGGTACAAATGATAGCACCAAAGAACTTTGGAGCATACTTCTTGATTCTGGAAATAACTTTCTGACAGGCTACTGTTGGGTCTGTTCCCATCCTCATATATTCCACAGCTTGATAACTGGAAAAAAAACAAAATAAAACAAAAACAAACAAACAAAACCCTCATAACCAGACAGTTAGCCATACTCAGGTTATATATTCTAAAACTGAAGAGACCTTGGCTTCTTTGAATAATAGAAACACATGGTAAGTAATTTTTAGGTCATCTTTGTATTGGGAATTATTACTCAAGTTCTACATAAAAAGTCATTAAAAAAACAGGACTAAAAGGAACTGCAAGATACCATCTGTTGTTCTATGGCAGGACCAAGCCAAGGGATAACTGATCATTTGCAGAAGAGGCTAAGCAAAAGATCAGTTAAAGAACTGCAAAGAAACCGTTAAAGAGTTAGTGATGAACTCTTTTTTATCTGCAGTATCATTAGACAAGTGACTATACAGGAAATGCTTGAGATGAATCAGTTGCATTTCAAAAATGTCCTCAGAGGTAAAAAATTAGTTTTGTTGCCATTTTCTCTCAGAAGCTGAAGATTAAATGACAACATATAACTTACAAGCAAACAACATTAGATTGCTTTGATGAAAGAGGCATGTACCAAGACCAACTCCTGCTACACTAAGAGATATACAGATAGCATTAACTACAAGTGTTATCAAAGTACTGTAGAAAAGAACTTCTCTTGCATTTTTACACTCCCTATTATCTTTGACTTATTCTAACAATCAAATAAGTTCAAGCAATCTAAAGAAAACTGACCGAATATAAAACTATATTTCACACTTCATTAATCAAAAACTCAATCAGAAATTACTACCTCAAAGAAGGCAGACAGCAAATATTACCAACTTTGCCCTTTATTTGGCACTTCCTTCACTTCTGGCAGGTCAATTTTAGTCTTTGTCTCTTCGTGGGAATATCTAAGTAACATGGATTTAGCAAAAATCTTTATCTACAAGGAAGCAGAGATTACCATCTAGGCGAGTTGTTTTCTAAAACCCACTGGTGCCAACACAAAATGTTTTAAGCATTAGAGCCAAATACTTCAGGCTGCTAAAGTGTAATACCAGTTTTTATTGACTAAACTCATAGTGGAGCTCAAGTCACTATTGCTGTTGCTATCCACCATGACAGGACAGATAATTTATTTCAAGACTGGCTTGGAACAGCTTGAATTTCATTGAGGACGTTTGTAAATATGCAATAGCTAGCAGGCATTCTTAGCTGCCAGAGTTTCAGAAAAAACACATGAGCTTCTATATAGTCCTTCAAGCATCTGAGCCCATTATGTACAGGATGGATTTCCATAACTCATTCCTGAGACTGACCCACAAGGATGACTGTCAAGACTCAGTAATGAAAACAGTCATATTTCACGTAGTTTACAGAACCACGATGACAGCACTAAAACATCTCTTTCAGTTTCAAATTAGATGCAATTACATAGGATTGTTGCAGTGACACCTCCCCACCCTCCTGAATAATTTGCGACCCACACCACCGCCTCCTCCTCTCTGCAATTTATGATACTCATTTCCCACATAACAAAACATTGTGGAGGAGAAAGCTAATCAGTTCTGTTAAAAAGCATATAGATTGGAAATATACTCACCTGCTGCCTGTTTGCTCACAGCTCGGCAGCATTAAGGGATCTGTCATCAAGATATTTGTCTCTTCTTTTAAGACACATCATAATGATACTTTAATACTGCTATTGTTCTTTCCCCTTCCCCTCCTTCCTCTGCTCCCACTTCAGCAGCCAGTAAGTTACACTGTCTTTTTAATCAATTACTTCATTTGCTGAGTCCACATTTTGCTGGGAAAAGCTGGCAAAGTCTGCCCTAAGGACAAACCTGGGTAAGAAGCGCATCATAATGTCACCATCCCCAGTGGCAGCAGCTCCTCCAGCTGTACTGTCTGCATAGGATCCTGCTCCAGCTATCGGAGAATCTCCAACACGGCTGTAGTGAACAATGGAAAATAAAACCCCAACTTTGTCAGCCTTACTGCCTCCAGCTGATTTAGCATTACATACACAGGAGAACAGAACAGGTAAAAAGGTCACTCCACAGCAGTCAGAAGTCTTGTCTTAAAACTACCAGTAAGAGTGATCTGTGATAACCTGACTGACCTGAGGCTTAATCCACCTCCTATGCACAACTGTTTGTTATTATACTGACATCGTTAGGCCAGTGAGGTTTAGCCTGTGGGCAACAGTAAGCAGCTGGGGACATTAATATGTTCAATAACTTGTTGCTAAATCCTGAAGTTGTCTGACTTGGTTAACAGAAAAGAATTCTAACTGGGTAGAAGAAGTATCTCAAAGACAAAACATAAGCCTGGGGCTCTGATTTTATGTACATTTCTTCGGAGACTGTGCACCCCTCCAAAATGCTTATTTGTCTCTGGTGCCTTGCCTTACAAGTTGTCTCAAAACTGTGCCAGTTGTTTGTGTCTCTGTATGGTGAGTGAAGCCAGCTGAAAAACAAGCATTCCCTCAAACAAACACAAATCATCTTGCAACTCAATCAGTATTAGGGTTTATGGCAGTGCAGAGAAATAAGTAAAGGCCATTTTGTGATCTAAATGTTAATGTTTTACAACACCGTGACAAGCTTAACATAGGAAACAATGTGAGGAAAAAATTTTTTTGTAAAACCAGAGATACTAACCCTGGAATTTTGTGGACTGCACCATTAGTAGATGTCCCAGAAGCAACGGTTCCACTCGCACCAATTATAACCATACCTAAGATTTTCAACAGGATGAAACATATTTAAATTGAATTTTATTTAATTGGTACTATGCTTATAAAACAGAACCACAATACACAGAGTATTCAAATTAGTGATATACTGAAATACGAAAGAGTTGTACTCCTAAGGAAAAAATGTTCTTTTTAAAAGACATTTGGAAACTTTTAGGATGTATTACAAGAGCTCAAAAAAGAATGTTAAACAGTGAGTGCCACACTGTTCAGAGCTGTGTGCTACTGCTGCCCAAGCAGCCACTGCCTCCTGATATACATCTGTGTTAACCAGTAGAGAACAAGTACCTGGTGTCACCACATCAAGCATCAATACCATCAAAACAACAAAGTTTGGAAATTAAATAGTGCTTGAAAGAAATTAAAAAAAAAAAAACCACATCAGAAGGATGAGCTTAAATTTGGCAGACAGTGATGTACTGACTACCAAAGTAACTTGAATTACATGACAGGCAACGAAATGGATGTATAAGCCTACCCCTTGCTAATTTTGTGCTGATAAGAAAGCCACTGCTTCATACAGGAGAAGTTTACATTGTCACTTGGAACAGGATTTGGGATCAGCTGCTTCTCCATATAGCAAGACTTCACCTCCACAGAGCAAGAGAGGGCATAAATTGCCGCTAGCATAAAACTGCAATACAAAGTGAGAGCCAAGGAGCAGAATGTGATGAGCTGAATTCTGGTTCTCTGACCTCAGCAGGCAGTATCTACTACTGATACAAAAGTTTCCTGACCAGTAGAAGCTAAAGCATAGAGGCACTGACTGTCCGTCCTACGCAAAAAGACTGGAAGGGCATTAGATGCTTTCAGCATCTTAAAAGCATTATGAATGAAGACTCTTCTCAAAATGTGCCAGTCAGAGAGATATTTCACATTTAAAACAATGGGGTGGGAGAACTTGAAATACTAATACAAAATACCGTTCTTCACTACAAAACAGCTTATGACTACTTAATGGTACATCAGTTCTTGAATTGTATTTACCAGATTCCCCTCTCCTGACATGTCACAATTTCTGAGTTTTCCAGCACTTACTGAAGACTGTTTACCCCAGGAAAGTAAGCTAGCTATCAACTTAAGAATTTAGGGGGATTGTACAACTTCTGGAGAATATTAATAGGTTATTAGCAGCGTTATTACCAGAAGCAAAGAAAAAAGATTCACACTTGAAACAACTTGCTAATTCTTGGTATTGCAAATACCAGGTGAAAAGTTCTGCATTAATGAACTGAGGAAAACCTAAACTAAACCAAAAAGTGCTAGTTTCAAGACTACACAGTAAAAAGCTTTAAAAGACATGAAACTGTAACTGCTCTAGTCCTTTGTCTGATCTGCTCCTTAATCAACTTAAAAGCTTAGCAATTAACAGTCCTCAATCACTAAACTCTTAGAAGTTTTTGGGACTACTACTGCTAACTGTTTTAAGCATAGTAGTTTCTGGAGAAATTAATTGATTTAGTCAAAAGCCAGAACAGAAGAAAAATGAAAGTAAACTTTGTTCTAAAAATTTCAAGAGTGTTTGAAAAACATTGCTTTTAGCTGGCAACAGGACTACCTTTTTACTCATTTCTTCCACTACTGTAATGCCTTTTAAGTTGCTCTGAAAACAACATCATAATCAAGACAAAAATAATTATTTTTAACCCTAATCAGTTTTCTAAGCACCTGTAGCTGTCCAAGCAATTATGCCAAGGTATCTGCAAGAAAAGCAGTAGGGCAATGAACAAGAGCTAAGGGCAAATACGAAGCAAGTGGCTGTGCAGCCAGTGCACTGGAAAAAAACCAAAAACAAATCTTACTTTTAGTGACTCCATCGTAACACATAAGTAATAGAATCTTGAAACCACTATAAACAGGAAATAATTATTATATGAAATACTTTTCTTTAAAATTAGTATTATTTAATCTGTAGAGGAATGAGAAAAAAAACTAGCATCAGGGTTACCAAAAGTTGTTACCAATAGTATCATGGTTCTGAACATCTCTTTGTGAGATGGTCTGTTCTTCTTTATAAGTTACTCTTCCAGGCCGTTTATATGGTCCACAGGATTTTGAAGAGTCTGGTACCACATTCTGTAATTGCATGAATAATTGTGACTAATTGTGAATTGCATGAATAATATACTTCAATACTGATAAATTTAAGAATACTACAATCAATACCTATAATCTGCCATACAGGATGCCCAATACTTAAAACATACAGCTGTACTGCGATACCACAAATAGTTTAGCTTAAAGAATAAAGACTGATTTCTGGTATAATACAGTAAGAAGGTTTTCCTGCTAGAAAGTTATGTTGTTAAAATTAAAGATTTTCTTTTGCTCAACTGAGTGGTCCCCCCCCAAAAAAAAAAAAGGCAGCTCATTCTTCAATGAAATGAAGAAAATTTTCAAGCCAAAAAAACAAACAGATGAAATGAGCTTTTTGTACTAATGTCAAGATATTGTCAAGTCAGTATCATACTCAAGATATTTTCCCAACTGAAAATATCTTGAAAATTAAAAAAATGAAAACTGAATTAAACTGGTTCAGCAATGCAGCATTCCATATTCAAGAAACAATGAATACAGCATAAAAACACGTAGAAATCTGTAACACTCAAAGCAAAAAAAAAAAATCAACCTCTCCAACCAAGCCAACCTCACCACAGTATGCAAATTTAATGGACAGCTGCACTAATCTGATGCATTCACAGGTCTGCATGAAGCCTCACAACTAACTATTTAGAGACCTTAATTACTACAGTAAGATTTTCTTTCAGAAATTTATACATGCATCAAAAAACACACACACTGCTGTGTTTAGCTTGAGAAGTCCTGTCCCAATTAAGAACTGGATAAAAAATAATTGCTACACCAAAGCACTACTGCAACAAGGTCAAAACCAGCAGGATCTAAGAAGTAAGAACTAGACACATACAATTCCCAAGTCTAACAAATGCTTGGTAATTTCAAGCCTTTTCTGTTTAATAAGCAAAATTCCTTTTTCTTCACATGTCAAGTGTAACTTCAATATAAGCTGAAAGGAAGAGGCAATTGCTGCATTACTGACTTTCTAAACCCCCTCTTCACTGCCACCACTGCACTGTACCTTCCAGTAGTTTGGCTGACAGCTTCGATTCAGCCACTCTGAATACATTGAAAGTGATTTCTGGGTTGTTAAATCTTCATATGGAAACCCCATTCTTACAGCAAACAGGGAGGCTTGAAAAGCAAGAACAAAACAAAAAAACCACACTGATTTACTCACAGATTTATGTATTTTATGATAATGCATTCATGTTATGCTTTTTAGAAATCAAGAAATTCTACATCCTTTATGGAGATGAGAAATAAGCCTTCAGAGAGCAGTATCAGCCATTAGAGTGATGTACAACTGCAGTAGCAAACTCTCCCTTCACTGGCAATATCAAATTTCTTCAATTCACTGTAACTATGTTAATACATGTAAGTTTTACCATCGAAAGAGAAACAAATTTAACTCCGCTAATCAACTGGACACAAATAAACTGGAGGAAGAGTGGCCCGGGCTGTGTGGGTCACAGAAATATTTAAGTAAATGATACAAGTATATTTGCCTTAAAAAGTTAATCTTTTATGAAATGTAAGTAACCCAGCAGCACAACATTTGCCATTAAAACACCGATACTTGAAGAAAGCAATCCACCAGCTTACATCATGATACACTTCTTCCTTCCAGCTTGAAAAGTGACAGCTTGTTTTGAAAATTAATATAGTATGTGCCAAGGGAGCAAAAGAAATACCAACACAAGCAATAAAGAATGCTACACTTCTAAGACTGACTTTTATCGTTAGGCAAAGGGAGAAGAAAAAAGATCAACTGTTCTTTCATCTTTTATCTGAAAATACCTTTGATACTAACCAGTAGCAGATACTGTTGCTAGGTTCCGATACCTGAGTCTATATTATCAATCCTTGATAATAACGTCCCTACACAGCTGAACAAGCTTATCTAGTCCAAGAATTAAGAGAAGCCTTGAATTATTTCTGCACAGTTTTTCTATGTTTTTCTTAAAAACTGACACAATTAAAGTTTCTTAGCACTCCGAGGAAAAGAAAACTGACAGCTTCAAATTAAATCGATATTTATTTTCCCATTTCTAGAACAAACGGGCAGGGTTTAGGGATTTTTTGTTTTTTCTTTATAGGATAAATTTGTGATTGTGCATATTTGTCAGGAATTCTTATATAACTTTTGAAGCATTCTTTCTATTCCAGAAAGCAGTTGGTCGTTTTTACTCTCTTAACTTTTTACTTTGATTATTGGCCTAAGTATTGATAGGAAAAAAAGAGAAAAAGGTCAGGCACACTGTTATTATGAAACTTCCCTATCTGTTAGAGACAAACAAAAAATTTCATTGCAGACAATAACCAAAATAGGGTGTTTTTTTTCTCCTCACTTGTAATCATCCTACACTAAATATCCCTCACCAGACTCAGCCTACATTGACATACATGTGTTTTATTGATAGTCTGCTAAGACTCACTCCTAAAGAATTAAGACAACAAATGGAGAAAGCAGTTCTTTTAACAGTGCAAGAATTGATGAGTGTAGTTATTCATATCTGTTCAACAAAAGCTACACCACTGTCAGGAAGTAGAATCCAAGATCTACAGGCTGGTCAGCCTATCCATGATCACTGAGAACAAAAAGGAAAAACTAACCCTAGAAATAATTTCTGAGCACATGAAGGACAAACAGGTGATTGGAAAATTAATGCATGCCACAGCTTGCCTTCTCCTCCTCTCCAGTGTCAACCACTCATAAAAACGCAATTTTAGGAGGCACAAAGACTTCCTTGGATTATATCACTAAGTATATTCAAATAAAAGTGCCATTTAGTTACTGGGAGAAAAATATGGAATAACCTCAGCAATTTTGCATCTTGAATAAAAAATTGCCTGCAGAGACTAAGTGCATTTATATGAAAAGAGCTTACTATTCTAGCTGAAAATGTAAATATTTTTATTTAGAAAATAAACTGTTCTTTCTCTCACATGCATATTTGAAGATTCAAATGTATTTCCTCTTTATCAATCTTCACCTGATGAAGACAACTACAGTTTCTTTTTTCCAAGCTCCAGCTTCCACAGAAGATATATTTCTTCACAAGAAATATTCATCCTCAATTTCTCCACTGCTTTGACTATTTCACTAACGTTAAACATCATCCCCAATTTTTACTCAGATAAATCTTCGGCTTTTCTGTCTTTCTTTTGCCACTACTCCCAGACAGTTTCTTCTGAGGAAGTTCTCACCGGCAGCAAGGACTCAGCATAACAACCTTGTCTACATGCCTTCATTATGCAAAGAGCTATTTTCTTAGTTGGAAAACATATTTTAGATCGACACTTTAATTCTTCTGCTTCTTCATTTTCATTATCTTTTCTGCTAATTCTACTGATCAAAGTTTAAAAATATTTTGGTAACTAACAATGATGGGGAAATGAGTATTTTGAGTATTTCTTCCTCTGCATTTAACACCTACCAATTTCTTTTTCTGCATCACCTGTGAAATTTCTCTTAGTCCACTTCTCAAATTGAACAGAATCTGCAAGTCTCTCTTTTCAAACATGTCAGTGTCCTCCCCTCCCAAGACTGCATCAAATAACTGCTGTTGCACTTATTACACATTAGCTTCTCCAAGAATCTTTTATTTTTCTTATCAATTTCAAAGTACTTGAATCATCATTTAATGCTCAGATCATGTCAACTTCCACACTTATCTCCAAATTCCCTTCTGAGCAGGTACATACATTTTCAAAGTCCTTAACTGTGAGCCAAGAAACCTTCTACTAACTACTCACATACCTCCCTGGAAGGTATATCTCTTTCTGAAACTGGTATTATTCTACCAACAGTAGCTTGTATTTAAAAAGCTCAACTAAGCCTCCAGTTTGGTATTGCTCTTTGGCTGTGCCAAAGAGTACAGCCTCTGATGTAATTTTTTTCATTCAAGTTCTCCCTAATATTTTTAAACTATAAAATGCAATAATCATGCTCAAAATATACCAAAGTAGTAAAATGTAATTGCAGTGTCTATTAATTCTGCTATTCCTCAGAAAAATTTACTCTATGGTTTTAAATGCAACATTTACATCTAACATTTTCCATATTGTCTTTTAATAAATCATCTTTGAAAACTCAGATATCACTGATACTAGCAAAGCCTTGGGATTACAAGTTAATATTTGCAGTTAGGCTGGTGGGAAAACCATAAAACTATGCTTTTTTTCTTCTAAAAATAAATCTATTTCATACACACAGAATGAGCAAATAAACACTTCTAAATTATTTGACTGATTTAGATTAGATTGATTTTACTGTCAAGTGATTCTTCCACCTATGTTACCAAGATTAAAATACAGCAATTTTAGCAGGAAGTGTTTTAGACAAGGGTATGACTTGGAAACAGTTAAAGGAATAATTACCTGACTCTCCCACTAATAATGTATGCTTAGTGTATTCAAGGACCTTTCGTGCTACACCAATTGCATTTTTTACACGTCTGAGATCTGCAACAGCCCCAACTTCCATAGTGTTGCTGGAAACAGGAAAATTAAAACTTATTAAAAATACACAAACAATTGCACATTTTTTACTAGACAAGATCTGTTCTCATCTACATCAAAAAGCCTGCTCCCTTAACATAATGCTTTAATAGTTCTATGGCACAGACTGATGGCACCACACTAGTAGGGAAAAAATATATTGCTTCCTTTCACAGGCATGGAAATGTTGCTCAAGTAAGAATAACTCCATCTACAGTAATATTTTCAGTAAAATAACTATGTTGTTATATAAACCAACAACATGAACAACACATTTGCAACATTTTTTAACCAGGACAGCTTTAAATAGCACTACCTACTCTCCCATCAGTCAGTATTTTTCCTAGTTCCACTAGTTAACATATAACTTGTCACACAGGGAGCCCCAAAGCAACAAGACCCTGCAACAATCCTTAAATGTGCTAACAATTACAGGGATCATTCTTTCATCCACGTAGTTTCCTTACCCATCCATAATCATTGCGTCCAGAGTTGTTTCTCCACTTTCATCTGGGCTTCCTCCGTATCCCACACTCCCATCGCATTGATCAATCTCACACTGCCCACAGCCTCTCTCGACTGCATCCAGCTCAGAACCGCCCGACTGGAGTACTCTCCAAGCTATAATCAACACAAATAATTAAATGTCACCAGGGAAAACAGTCTCCACTACTGCTTTAAAGAATGTTTTAAAGATGGGAATGATGCATATGCACTACGTAAGTGGATAAACAAAAGTAAACCATAACTTACAGATGAAATAAAGTCAAACTATAAATATAACTGAATGTAAAGCATCACTTTTCTAAATATTGTTTTTCTTTCGTGTCTGATTAGTGTTTCTGACTGAGAAATGAAGCTTTTCTTCTGTTATTTACTAACAACCATCACAACTGTTATACATCAAATAACCTTCTCTGCCCAGAACCAATTATTACCTTATCACTGCTTGTTTAAAGCCTTCTGGGAGGAGAGAGAAGGGGAAACAAAATTTTCATCTTATTTAAAAAAAAAAGGCAACAAAAAAAAGCAGCCCTCAAAAGCTTCATATAAGAATAGTAAGTGTCCAGCTGCAGAATAAAAAGATATAAACCTACATCAGTAACTACGTAAGCATAAAAACAAAGTGGAAATGGTACATAAGAAATCAGTCTCCATTCTCCTGTCCAACCCTTAGTCTTCTATTCTTTAGAATCTACGTATCATGGTGCAGCTTTGTAAGACATTACAGACATGCCAAATTACATGACTTGAATATGCTGAGCCTGAAGGCATTGCACATATGAGATTTCACATGGTTTTCCAAAGTGCATGAGCTTGCTGGCACTGATAGTTGCAGTCCTACTTCCTCCTTGTGCTGGCTCTGGTGCTCCATCATCTGACAGACCCAGCACAGGGGAGGCAGCACATGCACACAGCTCTTTTTTTGCAGAAATAAAGCATCTCAAGAAGTAAAAGACTGTTTCAACCATCTCAGGAAGGCTTATCATCACAAATGCTGCATGCAACTGCATGAAGCTTCCTGCACCAGGGGAAAAGTAAGACTTAATGCCATGCATCCAATTCCACATTTCACAGTCTTTTATTACAAACTTCTGTGTGAGTATTGCTCCAATGCCTATTGCCTTTATTGCTATCAGTAACCTTAACACAAGCTTTCAGAAGCTGCAAAAGGCCTTGCAGTTTTCATGAGCGTATTTTATTTCTGACCTATACAAGGCTTTATAGGTTACCCATTTCACAAGCAAGAATTCCATAGTAAGGTACTATTTACAACTTGACTATGATAAAATAACCTGCAAGTCTTTTAAAAACAGCACTCACAACTAATTTACGCTGCAATAGGAAAATGTGTTTTGACTGTCAATGACACATCACAGAACACTGAGCTAAAAAGAAAAAAAAAATATTCATAGCAACCTAAATCCTTGGAGAGGCAAGAAGGAATCTCAAAAGGGTACCTTTAAAAACCACTGCAAAGAGCCACGAGAGTTCAAACCACATTAACAAAAGCACACCTTTAATCTAGCACATCCGCAGTTCTTAACCCCCCTCTCTATTAGTTGGTTTGATTTGTTTTCAAACGCGTTTTTTTCCCAGCGTGGAAAGTTAAACCATTTGCTCGCAGGCTGTCAGGCCACACCAGGACTCGGCGTCAGAGAACCACCTGTGTAAAGGCAAGCTCCTTCCCACACGAGGAGTAACCCGGCGCCTCGGCGCCCGAGCCCCTTTCCAAGAGCCTCCCTGACCCGGGACGGGGCAGGCGGGGAGCAGAGACCGAGCCCACTGAACCCAGCGCCGCTTGACGGCAGCAGGGTCACAACTCGCTCCTTCTTGCCACGCACCAGCCTCGTCACGCCTCCAAGGCTTACTTTTCCCTAAGCCACCACCAACTCCCGGATCTACCCGGCGGCTCCTCACAACGGGAGGGCGCACCAGGCAGGCAGCGAGCGGCACAGCACCGCCCCACCCCCCGCCGGGACACCTGTCTCCGCGGCCGTCCTGAACGCCCAGGTGTTGATGACTACAGGCAGGGCGGCGGCCGAGGCGGCGCCCGGCGGCGGCAACGCGACGAGCGAAAGGAGCAGGACCAGCATGACCACCCGGCCCCCGGCGTCTCCCGGCGCCATTGCCGCCCGGCCCGGCCCCCGCTGGGCCGGCACCAACCCCGCGGCGGCGGCGGCGCAGGCGCGCTGGGCACGGCCCGGCCCGGCCGGGGGCGGGTGTGGTTACCGAACCCAGGGCAGCGGCGAGGGAAAGCTTAAGGGCCGATGCCGAGGTTCAGAGCAGAATAAAAAAAAATACATTTTGTATTCCATAGAATGGTTTGGGTTGGAAGGGACGCTGACGATCATCTAGTTCCGACGCCCTTGCCATGGGCAGGGACATCTTCAACTAGACCAGGTTGCTCAGAGACCCGTCCTTGGGCACTTTCACGGATGTGGCATCCGCAGCTTCACTGCACAGCCTGTTCCAGTGCCTCATCACCCTGTAATAATTTTTTTTCCTAACATGTAATTTAACCTACTCTCTGTCAGTTTGAGCCCATTCCCCCTTGTCCTGTAATTACATGCTCTTGTAAATAGCCTTGCCCCATCATTCTCATAAGTTCCGTTAAGGTACTAGAAAACTGCAATAAGGTCACCCCAAAGCGTCTTTTTCCAGGGAAAACATCCCAATTCTTTCAGCCCTGTCTTGTAGGAGAGGTGCTCCATCCCTCTTATCAGCTTGGTGGCCCTCCTCTGGATGTGCTCCAACAGCTCCACGTCCTTACTGTGTTTGAGACCCCAGAGCTGGATGCAGTACTTGGCATGGGGTCTCACCAGAGCAGAACAGAGGGGCAGAGTCACCTCCCTTGACCTGCTGGCCATGCTTCTTTTGATGCAGCCCTTTTTATTGTGTGTCTGGATGTGTGTTACAGCCAGCCTGCTTGTGGGGGCCCCCAGCCCACTGATGAGATTGCTGGCAGTGCTGGAGTTTGGGTGCTGACCTGTGCAGTGCTGGGGGGCTGTGTGTTCGCAGGGCTGTGGGGGAAGGGCAATCACCTATGCTCATGAGGTTCACTTGCAACATCACCTGCCACTTTGTTAACATGGATGTTTTTGTCAACAGTGCCCTATGGTTTCTGCAAAGGGCATGTTTTGGGACCTAGTACAGCCAAATAGTTTAGGGAAAAACTTGTGAAAAGCCTTGCTTTATGGAAACCATAAACCATATACCAGGTAATTTCTTAATTCTGCCCATGCCGTTCCAGCTTTTCATTATAGACCATTAGCAATAGTTTAAAGCCATTTGACCCGTTGCCATAGCACTCTGACAGTTTCCAGGTCTATGGGCTTGCCTGCTGTAAGCGTAATTCATCAGCTTGTGTTCAGGGCTGATTACGTTCAAGGAGTTTCTGATCATCAACCAGCTATTATTTCTGAACAACATGAAAAAAGGTGACTTTTGCTTCTACTAGAGGACATAGATATAAACTATACCTTTTTTTTTTTTTTTTTTTTTTTTCCCCAATTACTCTTTTGGCTTGTCCTCATGGCCCAAACTCAATTACACTTTAGCAGCAATGTCACTGGTTGTTGTATTTGTACGAAGAGGGGATACTTGGACCCCATGTGTGACAAGATCAGGCTTGTAAGCATGCCTAAATTTTGAATGCACCCAAGCTGTTTTAAAAAGCCTGAAGTAATATTATTTTTATTATAACAAAATGTTCCAAATACTTTGGAATTAAATGGTTGCCACAAAGGAAATATATTATCTTTTATTACAGAAGTCACAAAATAATAAAATACAGTATTAGGTTTGACTTTAGTAATACAATGGCATTGGTTTCAGCTAGTTCCCAAAAGCAAAACTTCAAGTAGTCCAGAGAAATCTTTACTCAGATAAACACTGTTAGCTTATTTATTTCTGATATTACTGCTCATATTTCTGTCATGTATTTCTGTGTAAAGCTGTTAGGCAGTGGAAAAGGGCCAAAATACAGATCTGAATTAATGTTAGCTGAAGGTAAATAGAGGAAAATATTTTCAGGAAACTAATTTAGTAATAAGTAAAAAGAAAAATATAATCAAACACATTCATAAAATGGGTGCATTAATGATATTTCAAATACGGTTTTCTTTTGGCAAGATAAAATGGAGTGTTATGAAAGAAAACCACTTTAATACGGATGTCATTCAAATACAAGTATTGACTGTGATGGTTGCATCTGCAGGCTGAGCCTGCACAGCTGTGGAGAGAATGTGTTGGATGAGTTGAAACAGCATAACATTATACTTTGAGGCTTATGTAGAAAGTCAGTTGGTTTGATTTCTGTACTACGCTTTCTAACTGGCTTTCAAATGTGAATGCCTTCCTGCTAGAAATAAATGCAATCTTGAGTCTATGCTATACTATATACAATTTTATGTAATATAATTAATATAAATTTTTTTATGCTGTATGCGAAAAAACTCACTAAGCAAATACTACTCTCAGATACAGTGTGTAAAATTAACAGCAAGGTCAATAAAACTCTTGTTTTACATGCTAAAAGCTAAGGAGAATTTGAGCAATAGCTATCCAAGACAACTCTCCAAGTCAGTTCTGCTGCATCCATCTGGGCTCTTGATTTACCTTCTGTCTCTGACATAAAGTATTTTAAAATTGGCCTTTAGTTTTAAGACTTCTTTGTATTTTCATAAAGATTATCTGTTGTTTTATAGAAGTCCTCCCCTGATCAGCAATGGAAATACACCTTCATCTGTTTATCCCCCAATACTTAACGTTATCTTAGATACCGTGGCTAAGATAAATGGTTATACTAGTAGACTTTTGTCTCTGCTGCTGAAAAGCAAACCAGTGTTTCCACAAAGATAACTTTTGTTCAAAAGCATAATATTGGAGGAATATTCTAGAGAAAGACTTGCATGGACAAGGGATTACTGAGAGGATCTACAACAGACAACACTGACTGAACGGCACTGAGTAATTAATGAAAAACACGGGAGGAAATTCACCTCTTCTACTGAGAGGGTCTGTTCCTACAGTGGCCAAAATCTGACCTCAATTATATCTGTGTGACCTTATCTGGCACCATCTGTTAAAAAATGCATGCCTAGCTCCTTTTTGCTATCTCAAATTTTCTGTTAAGTGTGCTTTGAAATCTAATTAAGTATCGTAGTTATATCTGTAATTTGTTTACATTTTGTCTTGATTTTACTTACACTTTCTAATATTAACACAAGCACATGAAAACCAAATATGAGAATGATTTTCTTAATAAAAGTAATCAATGGTGTGATTACCACTTGCTAATTAAAGTGTATTTGTAAATAATGTGTGTTGTGGTTTTCTATTTTGAGTAGATTTGTAGAAGCACTGTGCTCTCAGTTTTTAAAATTCTTTTTTTTCCCTGTTTCAGTTCCTTTTTTTTTTGGCTTCTTAGAATACATATGTTCTGTCATACACTGAACCACACGGAAAGGATGAAAATATTTATTCATAGCGCACCCAGTTCACAGTGACCATGGTCTACCTGTCTAGTAGAAAAGACCCATATGCCTTCTCTCATGCTTGAGAAGAGCTATGTATAAACAGTTTCAAAGCTACCTAGTTATCCTCTCCTGAATCCTGCATAAAATGTAAAAAAATGTGAATCACACAATTATCCAGACCTCTGCTTCACATTCTGTTTTCATGCCTTCCCTAACAATCCTTTTGCATGTGTTATATGTTCTCTTCCACTTATACTGTAAGGTCTTTTGCGTATGGGTTGTCATTTCATTTCAAGTCTGTACAGTGTATAGCACCAGTGTGTCCTACCTTAACACCCTCTGATCTTTGAGAATATATTCATGAACATTAATACCTATAATGAGAAAAAATACAGATGCTAATTATAAAACCCAAACAGCCATCAGTAATAACTAAACAATTATAGTCCAGATTCCATTGCTAAATTTCCTTTTGCTACTTTTTTTTTTAATTCAGATTATAAGCTACAGTAGCTTCCTTTCCTACTTTGTAACCTCAAAATAATTATTATATGTCACAGAATAATATGTTCTTGCAGTATTCTTTTGGTCTATTGTTGCATTCTGTCTGAAAACAAGTTATGGATAATATATTTCCTTTTAGTAATTGCTGTACTGGTCCAGTGCAGTAATAAAGTTGTCATATGGAACATGTAATGGGCCACATTACATTGTTGGAACTGCTTTTTTTTCATTACAACTCCTTGTAACTTTATGATATCTTCATAAATGTGATCCATGGCAATAATAAACTTGTTGGAAAAATACAGCAAGTTACTGTTTGTTTCCCCTGTGTCTGAAAGATATCAAGAAATTGTTAAATGAGCAGACTTAAAACTTTCAATATTGAAAGAAAGTTAACCACAAGCTTGTATTAAAAAAATATTAATTTAGAAATATGACAACTTACAATGTCCATATACATTTCATTTGTTTTGAGTATGGCTACGAAAATTTTTAAACAGGATTCTCACCTAGTTAGAATTATCTCAGCTTAGAGGGTGTATCAGCACATGCAACACTGTGATATTTTCATGGTTAGAATATGGAAAAACAATAAATAATTGCTTTAGGAGGTAATTTATGACATGTAAGCCCAAGCTTTGAATAGAAAACTGTGATGTCTGTGCTTGGTGCTTTGTCCAAGATTTTCATCTGTAGTCTTTGTTAGGACACACTAATAGCATGTTGTGTGATTTTTTTTCTTTTTATGTATTACATTGTACAAACCAACCTCCTTGTTTTGTATTGGTTTCTGTGACTCCTACTTAAGCTCACCCATATAAAACTCACCAAGTTATTGCAGCCCCATAGTATTTGGTGTAAACTGAAACTTCATTTTGACTGCGGTTGAAAAACTTTGAAGACAGATTTTAAAAGAAGTGGTAAAGAGCTAGTCTCTACTCCCATTATGTCTGAACTGGATATATACAGCACTGCAGTGTTTCTAAACCGCCAAAGAAGCATACAAATCAGATTAAAGTCAGTTTGAGAATATGTTCCAGCAATATACTAGCCATTCAGTTACTGTCCTTTGCAAGTTCCATTGGACTCTGATACTAACCATAGGGGTTATAAGTTTTATTTATTTTTGGGTTCAGACTAACAAATA